AAAAAAAAAAAAAAAAAGGTTAAACTGGGTGTTATTCAGTTCTGATTTAGGAACTCATTAGAAACCTAATGTTTAAGTCACAGCTGTAGCAGCTGAAACAGTATTTAAAGCTGTAGCCAAATCCTGACCCAAATAAAAAAGGAAAAAGGAAACCCTTTCCTTTAAAACTATTACTGTAGACATGGCTTTATGGATTGTATCAGCTGCTAGGGTACAATTTGAGCTTCTCTTTTTTAATTAAAAATATACATTAGCATTACAAGGGAGAGGAAACAGAATTTTATGTTTAACAAGTTTAATCTATGTACAGAAGCACTGATCTTGAAAGAAAGCTAGATAAAGTTATAAGAACCTATAAAAAACAGCTCTCTACTCATTTTTAAGTATTCCAGTTGCCTACATTAGAGAGAAAAAACAAAACCTCTCTAAGCAATGTCTAAAAATTGTCATTTTTAAAGCAAAATTTGCATGTCCCAGCTACCTGTTTTTAACTTGTAAACATATTCCACAATCAGGTGCCACTACCCTTACTACAACAAAGAGACTTCAAATCCACATATTTTTCCCTTTTTTATTTAAGCATGTTTTTTACCACAAGCATTTTACCTGGCAATTCTGCAAGTTTTTCTTTTTTAATAGTAAATTGCACTATCTACATTCTGCTATTTTTGTTCAGGAAACAAACAAATATGAGACTCATAGGACTTTCCAAAGTGATGGGGGATGAGAGTGACAAAAGGCTGCAAACACTTTACCTGTCCAGGGGATGTGGTCATTCTCTAAACAGACCCTGCACATTATAAAAACGATTAAAGAAAAGTAAATATATTCCTAAAAAAGTGTAGCTTTTTACAGAGACCTATAGAGAATAGTAAAAACCAGCCCTATAAAATGTAGTTCAGTAACATTCTATTGCTTTCAACCATAAAATAGAAGTGTCCTCTCTAGTGTTTGCTGAAATCAATGCTAATGAAGCTAGAGAACATGTTTTAGAATTCTTCTAGATTATATGCTAGATAGTTTTCCAAAATAATTTTCAAACATACTGACTCTTGAATAAAACCATGTCTGAACCTCTGATGTTTTAATAAGTGAAAAATATGTATGTTTGAGTGCCTGGGATAAAATCTAAACAAAGTGTAAACATAAATCCCATGCACCCTGCACAAAGAAAAAAAAACTTCCAACACTCTGTTGAAAAATGTGAATGCCACTGCTTTTCAGAACTCTATTTAATAGACATGAAGAATGCGTAAGGTCAAATCTATAGAGCTATCTATCAGCAGAATTATATCCATCAAAAACATGAAGAGGTATTCCTGACTTGCAGTTTATTCTGCCAAAGCCTCTAAGCATTGCAGTAATATCATCAAACCTGCTGGCATAACTACTTTGACAGAGAGCATTCAATGTGTATGTGGTAAGCTACGCTGGAAAAGACAGGAGTTTATAGAGTATGAACTACATCCACATTAACAGTATTTTGCCAGAGGAGCGTATTAGCCAAGCAATCCTAGCATGGTCTTGCCTGACTTCAAGCTTTTGTTCAATTTCATCATCAGTGGAAGATCCTGCTGGCAAGCTTTGCACTCTGCTCCTGTAATTGACAATACAGCAGCAGGTTGTGCCACCCGCAGGGACTTTCACTCACACCAGTGCAGCTTTCCACCAGTGTATTGCTCTGTCTCTACATGACCAAAGACTGGATCAGAACCTTCTTCAGCAGATCTACACGCTTGTAACAGCCTACCTATAGGTCTCGTTATCAAGGATGATGAATTCCCTCATTGGTGCCAGAAGCGTTTGGAATTCTTATCAAAACACATATACATACACATGCAAAAACAGGCCATATATTTCAGTTCCAAGTGGAGATATAGTTATTTTAATATCTGCCATTCAAGTTCGGATGTTCTAGCCTTGTTTTTACTTTCTGTGGAAGAAAGGAGAGCAACCATTACAAATGCTTCAAAGAGCATAGCGTGTTTTGGACTTGAACACCAAAACAACATGAAACAAGTCTGTAAAGACTTCTGTTATTTTGGTTTCAACCAGTAACACATATCTTCACAAATTTCACTTCAGCATTGCTGCAAACAGTGGCAAACATTATTGTGCTTAAGGGCATCTGTTTTATTTCACTGTCAGCTAATGGTGCTTATCAGCAACAGAGGGCTGTACAATATTCCCAAGCATACTTCATATTGACAATCAAAGACAAACAGGGTGGGTATTTTTTATTCTTTGAATATACAACTTTTCACAGTTTTGCTAAAAAACACTTCTGAATCAACTAATGCACGACCTCTGTCTGCTCGAGGGAAGAACAAGAGTAACCTTGACTTAAAAAGTAAAGGGAGTGGAATTAACTGTTCACATGTTTTAATTACAATGGTATCTGTCTTCCCATCTGTTTACTAAAATACTGAAATCTAACATCTGAAAATACAAACAAATTTCCCATAAATGCCACTCATTTTCAGGAGATCTTGCTAGTTAATCATTTATACATAGTTTACATCTGTAGTTATCCAAAGAAACCAAAACAAGTGAGAAAACAATTGGACCCCAGAAGTACAGTGGGATGGAAAAATGAAGCACTGACCTAACAGATGCAGTCTGAGGTGCTCTGGCTGCATATAATGTGAAAAATATTGTTTCATAGGAAAGCAAAACCTCCTGCATTGGTCCTGATGTGTTGATAGGGAAGAAATGGAGCCTGTCAGTATGTGTGATGTGCCACTGATAACTGTAGCCATCACGTTAGCCTGTCATCAATGAACTTATAAGCATGTTATTTACAGAAAATCATATTCACTACCTACTAACCCAAAACATACTGCTTCAAAGACTTCCACTCACGGGCTTGATTTTCTGTAACACAGTGAGTACATTCACACTGCAATCTCTCAATTGCTTTTCCTGCCTAAGTAGATCATAAAAATACATGGTCAAGGAAAGTTTTTTTCCATGTATTAGTGGATGCCAGAAAAAATCTGCTATTATACTTGTTTATACTCTCCAAGAAATTTTCTTCTGATTTTCAAACCTCTGTACCTCAAAAGTCTGTGTAGAATGTCACAATTTCCTTTTCTTTTCAGCATTCATTCACGCTTATGCACAAATTCAGAAAGAAACTTGAACCCCATTACCTTTCAATGAAACATTTTCCTAACTTAGTCACAGACACCTTAGAAATGAATTTATATTATGAAAAAAATCAACATCTCTGAAATATAAGGCCATGTCTCTAGACAGCTAAATAAGGTGCTAAAAGGTAACTTTTACCCTTTAGGTTTGACCTCGTTAGCTCTGAAAATCCTACAGGTAAATATATTTATCTATATTTCTGGCCTACCACTGAATCATTTAATAACAAGATTTGTGCCTAGAGCAAATACTGGACTCAGTTCTCTTTGAAACAGTTGGGTCAGGATTTGAACTAGAAGAAATGTGTAATTCTAAATTCCCAGTCCTTTCTCCAGCAGCTGAAGATATATCACATTTTACTTGCCAAAAAGTCCGACCACCTTCAGAACTGAAACCTGGCATTAAATACAACAGAGTATTTTATTGGTTAATTTATGAGAATTAATATAGGTAAGATTGTGATCCAGAACATGGCTCTATCATGCCACTACAACACAAACTGGAGTATTGTCTTTATTCATATCAAGAAGATGGAAAAATGCCATGAGGACAATACCTGAATCTGAATTAGAGAATGCAACTTCTGTGAAGTCTTAACCATTTAGAGTCTTAACCACTTAAAAATCACAGTCCCTGGGCAGCAATGCACCATTGAGCTCCAGTTTTGCCAAAAAAAATATACTTGAGAAAGAAGGAGGAAGCGTTAATGACAGCATGTACCAATATTCACAAGCATATTTTACAGTACTGGAATACAGTAATTTAATCCTATGGTTATAATATATTAAACAATACCTGAGAGGAGCCGTTGGGTAAATTACTTTTATATGTTGAAATGCCATGTCCTGATTCAAAATTTGTTTTATCCATGCTCTTGCTCCTTGGCCGGTATCACCTGTATCACACAGAAGAGTACAACAAGAATTATTCTGTGCATTTAGAAAAAAACCTCCATAATGCCAAATATACCAGACAGACCTAATTTCTAAACCACAAAGCTAATCCTCCAAAAACTTTCTAGAATAACCTCAATCCTCTTTTCAATGAAAATGGACTCAAAACGTCTTAGAAACAGACTACTTAATAGGTCCCACAGTATAAGTTTAATAAATATTTTAGTATATCCAATGGCTTAAGTACCTCATAATCAGATACAAAGCCTTACCTCTTACATGCAGCTAACCTTATTTGCTGATAACAGTGATAAACAAAAAATACTGATGAACAGTTTAAAAAGTGAGATAAAGTGAAGAGAAAAAGTGCTCCCTTGAGAAAAGTTAGTTACTTTTACTACAGAATTTTATGTTAACTCACCTCAAAACCCAGTCAAGAGCATAAAAAGGATCTTCAGATTTTATTATGCTAACATTACACATAGGCTTTAGGGGAAGTATCAGTCAAACACTCCCAATGTTTTGTAACAGTGCTTAAGACACGAGTTTGAGTTTAAATATCTGGCGGACTCCTCAAAAAACTTAATCCCAGAGTTCTGTTTGAAAGCTAGTTGAGATCTGACTCTCAATGTATTTTTTCCAAGTCATATCAACTCAGCCTATAGACAAAACCCCTGTAGACTGAAGTGCTATGAACAGATATACAGGATGAAAACTTATGCAGACAGCATGTCTGCCTTTCAAACAAACATACCAGACAGTTTCTAGAGCTTGTCTTTGCATCACTGGTACCTTCAACCATAACTTCACTGCCACCTCTCTGCACAGCACGAGCACATAAGTGCCCAATAAGAGTTAAACAATGCTTCAAGCTTGAGGAAGGTGGCCCATCTAGGAATATGGTTTACAGTAGGCAGTAATGTGACAAGTTCAACCTGAAAAAATTGGTGGGGATTGAGCAAAACTGGCCGCCACTTATGCCACAGGACTTCAGTCTTGTTTAAAGTAAAGGCTCCCACATATTATCAACTCAACTGCTAATCTGAGTTAACAGTATTCTCTATTACTTTAGCTCAAGTTAGTGAGTTTGACTTTAGAACTCACTTTATTTTTTTCAATAAAACGTCCAAACCACAAAAGAAAATATCACTGCCCTAAGCCAGGCTTGCTGCCACATTACATGGGTTCATCTGAACAACATCACATAAATGTATCAATTTACTGTCACAATGATTATAATTTCCCAATGGAGAAGATGTGTTCTTGCTTTATTTAGCACTCAAATAAAATTCAGTGATCTTTATTTACACACACAATTAATGCACCTTCAGAATTAAAACAGAAGGCAAGAAGGATCCAAACCCAGCATTTTTTTCTGTTGAGCACAAATGGCATAACCATGAAGTTCTCTTTTCGACCTAAATACTCCCAGTGACAAATAAACAATAGGGTCATGAAACTGACACAAATCTCATTCTGTGCTACATTAAACAGTAAAATGAAAGTTACAAACTGGATGTTTCAGAGCACATTCCCACAAACACTTCGCTTATGTGATCAGTATGATCTAAAGTCCAAACACACCTATGGTTCTTGGTAGACACTCTTGACATGCAACGGTTTCCGTATGGTTGCTGTCACCTAATTTATGAACAATGTATCTTAAGGAGCATTCAATAAACATTTTTTCCCATATACTTCATTCCGTTAGAATGCAAAAGTCTAGGCTTTGCAAATACACAGTATCAACCCTCCGGTAGGGTCAACCTAAGCAATTATCTGAATGCTTATAGAATTGGGACTTACTTAGGTCTTTATAAACTCCTTAATGGTGCAGGGCACATCTTTTATTGTTTATTCAAATTTCTTTAGTTTTGCCAAGATCAGCAGAAACATTTACAGCTAATGAAGCTAGTCTGTCTATGAAAAGTTAATAGAAAACTCATTGAGTACAAGCAAATTGAACTATGACCATCTGTGTGTCAGGAGTCCCCTGGTCCAAATGCTCTGCAACTGCTGTAAAGAGCATGCATTTTGATTTGGTAAGAATAGGATCTGAAGGGGAGGGAGAAAGAGGGGAGACTGCAACACCAAATAAAACCCAAAAACCTTCCAAAAGGTTTGTCTTTCAGGCTTTTCTTAGATTTTAGCATTATATGTTCTTCTGAATACTACTAAAAAGAAGCAATGCACAGAAAATTCCGCTTTGAGTCTGTTTACACACTGAAATAAACTGATGGCAGCAATATTATCTTTTCCCCCTCCTCAAGTAAAATAATTTTCCTTTCAAATAAAGCTCAGATTTCCAGAGTGCAAAGTTTAAACTTAACAACATGTTATATGAAGACTGGATATTAGGAAAAATTTCCTCACCAAAAGGGTTGTCAAGGACTGAAACAGCCTGCCCAGGGAAGTGGTTGAGTCATCATCCCTGGAGTTATTTAAAAGACACATAGACATGGTGCTTAGGGACATGGTTTAGTGGTGGACTTGGCAGTGTTTGGTTAATGATTAGACTTGATGATCTTTAAGGTCCTTTTCCAACCTAAGCGATTCTATGACTCTATGTGTGTTACAACATAAAAAGTTGTAACCCTAAAGTCTAAAAAATTATTATACATTTGTTACATCCCATTTGACTCCCCTACTGAGCTACCAAATGAATCCTCTACCTAAATTTGGTGTACAGTACGAGGAATTTTCTAATATTTTTCTTTACCATTTTGCATTCACATTCTCCACTTGTTATAATTTGTCTGGAGCAAGTATTATGAAAAAAATGGATTCATGCCATTTGGCTGCCAGTTTCCATCACAAGCACTGTACAGAAGGTTTACAATTCAGGTTTACAGGCCAGCCCACAGCAGCAGCACTGTGGCTACTTCTGTTTTAAATTCTATTCTGCCAAACTGCTAAACAAAACCAAATAAAAGCACCCTTGTACTTCCCCATTGCAAACATTACGACTGAAATCGTATCAAACATGAAAAATTGTAGAGTACTTTAACCACATGTGGAATCAACCTCTAACCATAATCTTCCCTTACTCCTCCAACATAAGAGAAAATTATGTCCTCGAGCATTAAAGCATTAGCATTGACAAGAGGGCTGAACACATCTTATGAACTCCTCTCTTTCATTCTTGAAGTCACAGAATTTCATGAAATTTAACTAGATTATAAAAATGAAACTAATTAAATAACCACATACATCTCCGTAAAACTAAACGGAAGCATCAGCTAAAAGCTAAGAGAGACACTGAAAGAATTGAGGACATTGCCAGATCCAGGTGAGCAGCTCAACAGAACTGATTCCCAAGGCCTTGATCTAATAAAGAGCTATGATTACTGTTTTGTGTTTGATGTCAGTTTCTGTTTTGAGTTGGTTTTTTTCTTCTGTTTGTTTAGGTTTTTTGTGTTTTGTTTAAAGTCACGTGGCCTTTGTTGTTGTTATTTAGCATGTTAGAAATAACATTTAAGGAGGAACCCCAACAAAGCACAAGCTCCCCTCCTGTCCTCGGACTGGTCACTGATGCCGGTGGCTACCTTCTGCAGATGGTGGCCACGAAGCCAGTTTGGACACCACCAGGACCCTTCTGGACAGAGAGCAGGCAGCCTTGACAGGTGACAATACTTTCAGCCTGATCCTTAAAAACGCCCAAAGCCATTTTAATGATGCAAATCGCTACCCTTGGAGTGGAGGAATTATGGGAATATCTCCTGGAAACGAAGTTCCCATGGAAAGAACACCGGGCTGGTGTGTACCGGCACCGTCCCTAACCCACTCCCCACTCACCCACCCACCTCGGCCCCGGGGCGGCCCAAAGGCCATGCCCGGCACACCCGCGCCCCTTCTTTTGCCCCCCGGGGCTCCTCCGGGCCGGCCTCCCGCAGGGAAGGGGGAACCTCACACCCCTTCTCCTCGCTTTCCAGGCGGGCCCGTCCCGCTGAACCCCTCACGACTGAAGGGGCGGACCCGCAGCTGACCCCTGGGCAGCAGGAGGCGGCGGTGCTGGCCACACCGGCCCCGCGGTTGGAGGACGGCCTCCCCCGGCCCCAGCAAGCCCCCCCCCGCCCTGGCCCCGCCGCAGGGGAGAGAAGAGGTTGGGGGGAAGCAGCCACCTGAGCCGTGCAGGAAGATGAGGGAGGCGGTGTGCCTGCCCGCGGGGGACACCACGCTCCTCTGCAGAGCTGCGGGCGCCGCCATGCCCAGTGCTGCTCCTCCTCCTCTTCCTCCTCCTCCTCCTGGGCCGGCCCTGCCGGCAGCACGGCCTTACCGCGCCGGCGCAGAGGCAGCCCCGCGGCCGCAGCTGGGCGGGGAGGGAGGCTGGGGCCTCTTTCAGCGCTCCGGAGCGCAGGGCCTTGTCTCCCGCTGCCGCCCCCAGCTCTGCCGGCCCCGCACCCGAAAAGTTCCCACTTCTGACGCCCGTGCCGTTACCAAAATCTGCTTATAGAAAGTGCTCTATCCGTACAGGCAGCGTGTGGTTGGCAAACTGAGGGTCAAACAGCGAAGGGGGTCACCCTTCTCATGGGGTAGCATGTGTTTGGAAAGGCAGCGAGGCCTCAGCCTTGCCAGGTGCTGGCTGTCACAAGCAAAGGCCTCACTGTCAGGGAGCTGAGGGGTGGCAGGGGGGCTCCAAAGGCTCCTCCAAGACACTCCAGGGAACGATGGGCCTGTGGGGACTAACGCTGAGAAGGTCCAAGAGACGTTTGAAAGCTTGTCTGGCCTTAATCAGAGTCTGAGCACAGCCACTCTGGTGCTTGTGGTAGTTTCTACCAACCTGTTGTAAGGGGATAAGAAGTAGTAGCTTTCTTTCGCACTTTTAGGTACCACTAACTTTTTCAAGGTCATGAGACTTTTTTTTTTATTTTTATTTTTGTGTTCTAGTGATGTGTTGATTAACCACCTGCCTTGGTGCGTTGAGGTCCGTGGCAGTGGAATAAGGATGACCAGGCATAAACTCTGCTATTGCCATTTCACTAGCCAGGTGCAGTGCGAGCCAGGGGTTGAGCAGCAAGTTTACAGATTAGTTTTGCAGTTCATCATGGAGTATTTTGGCAAGCCATAGGGGCACACCTGTTAGTCCTTAAAAATGTAATGAAACCTTAGCCTCTTGAGGTAGCATGTTATTACCTTCAGAATGGCCTGTTGGTTAAGTCGATGAGACATCAGTGTGTACATAATATGAAGAGCATGCTGTGATTGTATTTCTGTTCAAATTACTGTCCTGACTACTATTTTCCTATATATTTAGGCCATGAAATCTTAGGGCACCACTAAAATGTAGATTGACAAACGGCATGTTATGATGCCCCTTCAGAATGTACACAGCTGGATTTTTAATGTATCTAGGAACATTCTGCAGCAGGTCTAAGAAGTAAACAGAAGGAAAAAAATCTAATAGTTAGGGAAATGAGAAAATTGCATGGTGGGAAGGGGTGAAAGACATATCTAAAAATTTCTACAGTGTTGGTTGCCAGATTCAAGAATACAAAATCTCAGCAAAGTAGTGCCACCATGAACAAGCTGGTGCCTGATAGCCGAAGATACACCTTACTTTTCATTTCACTTGCAGCATACAAAAACAATTGTGGTATTTGAGACATTAAGGCTCCTTTTTTAAAAAAAATTAATTTAGCAGAACAGTTTAATCATGATTATAGGATGTATTCAGCCATTTAATTATACTTATTTATTATATTTTATCTTGCCATCTTTAATGAGAATTGTAGTTTTTGAGGGCTATTATTTGTGAAGGGTGACTGAGCAAAGGTACAACAGTGACGTGAGGCGTTGGACAAACTCTTCTGCACAGTTAGGGCAACAAATCATGATCAAGCCTTTTTAAAGCTTACAGTTTGTCATTCCCTGCCTCTGAGTTACAAACTTGGAGGTAAAATATTTCTTTGTGCCAACAAATAAAGCTTGATGCCAGGAACAAAACAAAGGCTAAAATATCAGATCATGCAAAAATAGGACTGTAGGTTTGGAGGTTTTTTTGTGTTGGTCCTTTTTTTTTTTTTAAAGAGAAACAGTCAACGCACAAGATTTATTCTTTCTTTTCCATTAAAAAGCAAAGGGCCATCTTTATCTTTCCCTGAGTGGAGAGGACTCCAGGGCTTGAGGGGAAAGACTAATATTTAAAAAAAAATTAAAGACAAATAGATAACTGCATGGGAAGTTGTTTGTTCAGAGGTCCTATTCTTTCACAAATGGGAAGCAGCTGAGTTACAATTCTGTTGATAACAAATTTACTGTAATAACTTGTTATTTATAACAGAGGAAAATATTTTCTTGGAGTGTGTTTAACTATATTAGTTATATTGAATGTTAATGATATTAGAAATGTAATTTAATGACATTTAAAAAAAAAAACAACCACAGCAAAAGAACCTTCTAACTGTATATGTCTGAATTAGGTACTCAGAAATAGCCAGGAGATGATTCTGTTGTTTCTAGGAGTTTTATGTTGTTAGAGGGATGATACAGAGTCCCTTTCCCTGCCAGTTTTGCCTTCTACCTGAAGGAGGCAACGTGCCTGGAGGAAGAACTGGAAAAAGGTTATAATTATTTCCCTGGGCCAAACCCTTGAAGCATATGAAGCAGACAGATGTAACCCATGAACACCATGAAAATCATGGCTGCTGCTAAAAGCTAGCCTTACTAACTGAAAGGACTATCCTGAATGAATTAACAGTATGTTAATAACTGTAGAAAATTATAGGCAATATGAAAATAGCTTGCAAATTTTGTTAAACTAACATATGCTTAAGTTTTTTACGAGTCTTTCACTGCTGACATGTAACATCTCCACAAGGAATTCATTACATTTCACAGCAGCAATAAAATGTCCTCCCACACCCTTAAAAACATATTCTGTTGCAATTGCTTCTCTTTTTGATTTTTTTTTTTTCTGGGCTGAATGAAATAAACAGATTAAATTTTGACTTAAATGCTAAACACATATTGAAATGTAAATATGTGGCCATATTTAAGTTTTCTAAAGAAAGTACATGTGAGCTGTGTTTTGTTCCTTAGGATAGGCTCTTGCTCACAGTCCTCTTTGTTCCAACTCTGTTCTCTCACACTGACTCTATTCAGAAGAAACCAGAAGAGTTTGATTTGCTCGCAACCGTTTTGATATTTTTCTCATTTAAAATGCCTTTTCACTTTAAAATTAACTTTAGCTGAAAACAGTATGTTGCAGAGTAATCTTTATGTCTAGCATGTGCGCATATATAACATCCAGAAACACTTATAACTGTATATGCAGAACCAAGGCTCTTGCAACCCACGTTGAAAAATAGTTTGTAGGTATTGTGTGGTTGCTCTTGGGTTTTTTTAGTAGCTGAGTTAATCCACAGATGTTTCTTTTATGATTACAAAGAAGTATATCTGATTTATAGTTGATTATATTTACATTTAAGTGATTTTGACAGAAACTGGGATTTTTGTATGGAAATACAAATAACAAGGATTTTGATGTTTCCACTCACCTCCTTTATTTCATTCTCAGTATCCTGACATTATCATCACCATATCAGAAGATCATATCATTAATATCTAGTCTTTGTTGCTTGATTGATAGCTATCCTATGCTGGGCTTCTTCAATATTAAGGCATTAAAATTAAAGGCTGAATTTATTTTACTCTTTTGTACATTCCTTCCTTCTCTTATCCTTCTCCCAGTTTTTTACAGGCTGATGGGTCTATCCAGTATTTTTAAGACCATCATACTGCTTACTGTGATCTGATAAATATAAGCAACTCTTCTCAAATTTGCCGGTAGTTTCATTCATTGGAAATCAATGGCAGTGCTTTGAGATAGAATTTAAATGGCCTGGGTTTTTTTCAGTGTACATCTTGGCATAGTTTATTCTAAAAAGTTCTTGTAAACAGTTCTCTGCGCAACTGCCGCAGTAGAGGTAGGAAGGACCATAGGGGTTGCTATTCAGGCACACAACCTAGTGGTCCATGTATCGTGCTGAACTATCCATATCCTTACCAATCCAGATAAAAATGTATTTCAGTTCATATTTTTTAATTAGGAAACTGAGTTTTTAGCAAATGATCAATGTTCAAAATATGTAGATTTTGAAAAGTTGCTTTCCTGTCCAGTGAGAAGTATATTTTGATGCTGAGTTCCCCTGTTCTAGAAAAAAAAACCTCCCTGGCAAGGCTACATCCCTAAAACTGTGCATCACACATATGATTTAAGGTGGAGTTGGGAGGGGGAAATCAGTCCACAAAGAGAAAAGCAGGATACATTCTGCATCTGAATGCTGTCTGGCACAATGAGATCTTGACCCAATGTTTCTAGTTACCACAGCAAGGTAAACAAGTAATAAATAAACAAATCATGTTCTTTTTGGCCTGAGCGCTAATTGGTATTTAGGGTCTTGTGAGATAATTTTGCTAGCAGGAGCCAGATATTTACTGTATGCCATCCAATTTGTTTAAAAATAAGGGCACTGTCCCAGGGACAACAGGAGGCAGTTCCCTTCTTCAGAAATTCTGAGCCTGCAGCTAGCCAACAGCCTGCCAAAACAAATCCAGGCTTGGCTACATTACTGGTGCCTGCGTGTTTCTTCTGCTTGTACTTTGCAGTGGGTTTGCTGCTTCTGAGTCATTTGGACGTCCACTCAGCTGTGCATCTGCAGGCATCTCACAGGCAAGCTCCTTGGCCCATCTTGTTCAGCTTATAGCCTGCCGAAGCCTGGAGGGGTGTTCCTCAACTGGAATTCCCCAAGGAATCTCCCAGACATGCTCAGAGCTTACCAAAAACACATTAACAGTGTTCTTAGCAAATAGCAAAGCTGCTTTCTATTAATATGTGGACTGGTGGTGTCTCCCTTTTATTTAATTCATTGGTGATCAGAGCTATGGCTCCTAACTGGTATGACTGGTTTTACATTGACTTGACAGTTTCTGGCAAAGCAACTTTGCACAGCAGAGAGTAATTCAAAGACGCTTGCCCTGAGCAGTGAGTTCACCTTGGTCATGGGAGATGCGAGTTCAGGATTTTTAGGGGAAGTTTGAAGGGTTGTGGGAGGGTTTGGCTCTGTTGGAGCTTCGCCCGTGGGAAGATGTTGGTACTAGGACTACAATATCACGGTCTTCAGTAAAATTTCTAGACTCAGAATGAAGGATAAATAAGAAGAATAAAGGAATCTGGGGTGCAGGTAATCTTTTCTTCTGTTCTCCCAGTTAAAGGCAAGGACACTGAAAGAAATAGACGTGTACGGTCTGT